AAAATGGGGAGTATTATATTTTTGTTTGTAAATTAGAGATTGATAGATTATTGATTGAAAAATTTATATTAACAGCTGGAAATACCCTTCAAAAGATGCATCGAATTTATCTTCTGGACAAAAAAACAGGCAGCGAATTTTACATACTCTCGATATTCGAAGATCATTCGGTCACTTGGACCTATTTCATAAGTCTTTTTGGAGTCTGGATCCAAATTTTCGTTGCTCTAGCTCTTATAGTCTCTGAGCACTAGGCGATCAGTCTGACGGACAGACAAACATGACTCAGTCGACTCGGCTATTGATGCTGATCAAGATTATATATACTTTATGGGGTCGGAAGAGCTTCTGGCCGTGACACACATCCATTTTCCCCACATATCTAATATACCCCTATACTCTTTTTGAGTATCTGGTATAAAAATGTAGGAATATATCAACAAATGTGAACGTCATTCGACCTTTAGACCCTGTTCAAGGGTATAAAAAGAAGTCAAGCTCCGATGATGACAATAATGATGATGATGTCGTCGTCCATACACAGAATTGGGCCTCAACAATGAGGGTCCCAAGCATTCCGATCCGAGTGTTGAGATTTGTTGCTATGATCCTGATCCTCGACTGCTCGGATGGTCTTTTTAAGTTCAAAAATATCAAGTGCAAGTGCTTCGAGAAATCTTATTGCGAGTTCGCGAAATGCGAGCTTAAAATTCTAGGTCGAGGCATTGTGGGACTCAATCTGCATGTACAAGCAAAACAGTTGCCCATCACCAGAGTAAAGGTATGTCCCCGTATATGGGTTGGTCATGCAAATTGAAGAAGTTGACAGGCCTCGAGTTTCAGGCGCAGGTGACTACGTTCCAACGATTTAATGGGTTTCGGCCCAATATGTACAATATCAGCGTGGATATCTGCGACTTCTTCAAGCACAAGAAACGCTTTCCGTTCTTCAACTTAATGTACGATCCTTTACGAAACTTCAGCAACTTTAACCACAGCTGCCCCTACAATGTAAGTAACTGGGGAATCGTTTGCACTCAGTTTAATTCAACATTTCATACCTTATTCCCCGTGCAGCACGATATCATCATAAATAGAATGGTACTGAATGACCAAATGTTGAATAACCTACCTTTACCCAATGGATTCTACAAGCTATTGATTGTTATAGCTACCGAGGGCATCTGGCGCGGCAAAGTCGAGTTCTTTTTCGAAATCAACTTGGGATACGATCACTGACAGATCAAAGAACAAAATGTAATTTAATCCTTTTTATTCTCTATAGGTCATGTTATACGGGCTAAGTGTGAAGGTGTGTTTATAGGCTTTTGTTAAATATTTAACATCGGGAAAATAAATATGTGATATATTCAGGTATAGTCGGTACTTATTTATGTGTTTATGCTCAAAATGTACCGTCATTATCTGATCATCTGATATCTGATCTCTGATAAATAAACTATTTACTTAACTACTCATACGTAAAATGGGGAGTATTATATTTTTCTTTGTAGATTAGAGCTTGATAGATTATTAATGGAAAAATTTGTATTAACAGCTGGAAATAGCCTTTAAAAATGCATCACATTTTATACCTGATCATTCTGCTATTTGGACCATTTTCATAAGTCTTTTCGGTTTATTTAGTAACAACCCAAGAATTAATTTATCTTTTTTAGTAGTAAAATTTTAAACATATATCTACAAATGTGAACGTCATTAGACAGAATGAATAATACCCTCTTTAAGGGTGTTGAAACAAGTCAAGCTCCGATGATGATGATGACATCATCGTCGTTCTTTTTTTCTAGCGTATTGATATAGAAATGCTAAAAGGTAAATAGTGTGGTAAGTAAATTAGTGGCTGGTAAATTAGAAAATAGTTCAGCTCCGATTATAATGATGATGTCGTCCATTTCCAGACTGGGGCCTCAACGATGAGGTTCCCAAGCGTTCCCATCCGAGTGTTGAGATTTGTTGCTATGATCCTGATCCTCGACTGCTCGGATGGTCTTTTTAAGTTCAAAAATATCAAGTGCAAGTGCTTCGAGAAATCTTATTGCGAGTTCGCGAAATGCGAGCTTAAAATTCTAGGTCGAGGCATTGTGGCACTCAATGTGCATTTACAAGGGAAACAGTTGCCCATGAAAAGAGTAAAAGTATGTCCCCGTATGTAAGTTGGTCATGAGAATTGAAGAAGTTGACAGGCCTTGAGTTTCAGTTTCAGGTGACTACGTTCCGACGATTCAATGGTTATCGGCCCAGTTTTTACAATATCAGCGTGGATATCTGTGACTTCTTCAGGCATAAGAAACGCTTTCCGTTCTTCAACATAGTGCACGATCCTTTACGAAACTTCAGCAACTTTAACCACAGCTGCCCTTACAATGTAAGTAACTGGGGAATCGTTTGCACTCAGTTTACTCCAACATTTCATTCCTTATTCCCCGTGCAGCACGATATCATCATAAATAGAATGGTACTAAATGACCAAATGTTGAATAAACTACCTGTTCCTAATGGATTCTACAAGCTATTGATTGTTATAGCTACCGAAGGCATCTGGCGCGGCGAAATCGAGTTCTTTTTCGAAGTCAACTTGGGATACGATCGTTGAGAGATCAAAGAACGAAAAGCAATATCATTAAGAAAATCCTTTTTTATAGAAAGGCTCTTGATGTAGGACAGTTGTAAGGTGTTTTTATGGACTATGCGTCATTTGCTGATCAATATATAATGAGCTGCCTTTCCAGTATTGATTTCGAATAAATATTCCATACAAATTAATTTTAAAAGCGTTTGGGGCGCATTTGGGACTATTTACTCAATTGCTCAGCCGTTAAATGGCAGATATAGAATTTACAGATATTACAGACATGGAATACCCTTTCAAAACATTATGTAATTAATTATCTAAATGGTTTATGTTCTTATAGGACTTTAATTTTACCATTTTAGATGATTCTGTCTGAAGTATTCAAAAAAATTTATAAATGTACACCATTAAGCACAAAGGCAAACGTTTAGATTTATTATATTTAAAAAAAAAAACGAAGAGGAACTCTGTGAGTCGAAGTCATCAGGACGGATGGACGGGTATACCGACCGACGTAAAGACGGACAGACAGGATTTATCGACTCGGTTATTGATGCTGATGAGGAATAGGATTAATACTATATGGGGTCGGAAACTCTTCCTTCTGGATCTTGCACACATCCACTGTCACCACAAATCTAACATACCCCTATAATATTTTTGGGTATCGGGTATAAATGATAAATGATTTTTGCTCAACCACTTATTTTTGATAACTAAATATTCTATTTTTGGGAATTTAAATCGAAATGATTAAATGTTACTTTTTTAGCAAATAGTTAAGCTCCGATTATAATGGTGATGTCCATTTCCATAGTTGTGCCTCAACAATGAGGGTCCCAATCATTCCGATCCGAGTGTCGATATTTGTTGCTATGATTCTGATCCTGCACGGGTCGGACGGTCTCTTCAAGTACAAAAATATCAAGTGCAAGTGCTTCGAGAAATCTTATTGTGAGTTCAAGAAATGTGAACTCAAGGTTCTGGGTCGTGGCATTGTGGGCCTCAATATGCATGTACAAGCGAAACAGCTGCCCATCACCAGCGTTAAGGTACGTCCTTGTGTGTGGGCTAGTTCTGCAAATTTAAGTAGTTCCCAATCTTGAACTTTCGAGATATTATCCTTTCTTTCTCGGTGCTGTTTTACCCTGTTAGGCAATATTGACCATGTTCCGACAATTTAGTGGATATCGGCCCTTCTTATACAATGTCACAGTGGATATCTGCGGATTCTTAAAAAACCCGAAGCGCTTCCCGTTCTTCAGTATGGTGCACGATGCTATACGAAATTTCAGCAACTTTAACCACAGCTGTCCCTACAATGTATGTGGAGGAATCGTATGAAATTACTTAACTTTAAGGCTCATTTTTGAATCCCCCGTGCAGAATGATATCATTATTGATCGAATGGTGCTTAACGATGAAATGATTAGCAGGATACCTGTTCCTAATGGATTCTACAAGCTATTGGTTGCTGTAGCTACCGAAGGAATTTGGCGCGGCGAAGTTGAGGCGTATGTAGAAGTCAACTTGGGATACGATCGATGAGATATCAAACAACAAACGGCAAAATCATTAAGAAAATCCTTTTTGATAGAGGAGGTCTTGATGTTGGATAGGTGTAAGGTGTGCTTATGAACTATTGGTGAAACATTTAACATTGGGAAAACTATTTCATGATGTCATATTAGTGCTCCAAATGTATCATCATTATCTGATCAGAATTTAATGAGGCACTGATGCCTTTACAGTGTTCTTTTCTGATAAATAAACTACATATTTACTAAACCACTCATACGTAAAATGGGGAGTATTATATTTTTGTTTGTAAATTAGAGATTGATAGATTATTGATTGAAAAATTTATATTAACAGCTGGAAATACCCTTCAAAAGATGCATTGAATTTATCTTCTGGACAAAAAAACAGGCAGCGAATTTTACATACTCTCGATATTCGAAGATTATTCTGTCACTTGGACCTATTTCATAAGTCTTTTTGGAGTCTGGATCCAAATTTTCGTTGCTCTAGCTCTTATAGTCTCTGAGCACTAGGCGATCAGTCTGACGGACAGACAAACATGACTCAGTCGACTCGGCTATTGATGCTGATCAAGATTATATATACTTTATGGGGTCGGAAGAGCTTCTGGCCATGACACACATCCATTTTCCCCACATATCTAATATACCCCTATACTCTTTTTGATTGTCTGGTATAAAAATGTAGGAATATATCAACAAATGTGAACGTCATTCGACCTTTAGACCCTGTTCAAGGGTATAAAAAGAAGTCAAGCTCCGATGATGACAATAATGATGATGATGTCGTCGTCCATACACAGAATTGGGCCTCAACAATGAGGGTCCCAAGCATTCCGATCCGAGTGTTGAGATTTGTTGCTATGATCCTGATCCTCGACTGCTCGGATGGTCTTTTTAAGTTCAAAAATTTCAAGTGCAAGTGCTTCGAGAAATCTTATTGCGAGTTCGCGAAATGCGAGCTTAAAATTCTAGGTCGAGGCATTGTGGGACTCAATATGCATTTACAAGGGAAACAGTTTCCCATCAAAAGAGTAAAAGTATGTCGCCGTATGTAAGTTGGTCATGAGAATTGAAGAAGTTGACAGGCCTTGAGTTTCAGTTTCAGGTGACTACGTTCCGACGATTCAATGGTTATCGGCCCAGTTTTTACAATATCAGCGTGGATATCTGTGACTTCTTCAAGCACAAGAAACGCTTTCCGTTCTTCAACTTAATGTACGATCCTTTACGAAACTTCAGCAACTTTAACCACAGCTGCCCCTACAATGTAAGTAACTGGGGAATCGTTTGCACTCAGTTTACTTCAACATTTCATTCCTTATTCCCCGTGCAGCACGATATCATCATAAATAGAATGGTGCTGAATGACCAAATGTTGAATAAACTACCTGTTCCTATGGGATTCTACAAGCTATTGATTGTTATAGCTACCGAAGGCATCTGGCGCGGCGAAATCGAGTTCTTTTTCGAAGTCAACTTGGGATACGATCGTTGAGAGATCAACGAACAAAAAGTAATATTATCCTTTTTATCCTCTATAGATCATGTTATACGGGCTAAGTGTCAAGGTGTGTTTATAGACTATTGTTGAAATATTTAACATCGGGAATATGTGATATATTCAGGTATAATCGGTATTTATGTATTTATGCTCAAAATGTTCCGTCATTATCTGATCATCTGATATCTGATCTCTACTCATACGTAAAATGGGGAGTATTATATTTTTCTTTGTATATTAGAGCTTGATAGATTATTAATGGAAAAATGTGTATTAACAGCTGGAAAAAGCCTTCAAAAATGCTAAGAAATCAAAGAACTAATGTAATATTATCAAGCCCATTTAATTTTAATGAAAAGTCTTTCGTTTATTAATCACATTCGATCGATGGCGCACAACTAGGATATTATCTGCACTTACTTCACTTGTAAATCCGTTGAGCAAACATATCGCAAATCCGTTGCCAAAGATCATCATCATATGAGCCTAATTAAGAGCCCATTACCCAACCCTCGCTATGTAAACAGACACCGCAGACCGCAAGTCAGGCAGCCCATGAGGCCAAACGAACCCACCCTCCCCGTTCGAGGCTACGGGGTGGCATGCAACGTGTTGCGGTCGATGGGTAGCAGGGGGATGATGATGCCCTGAATTGTTACGTGTGTAATTCGACACTTGAACATGTTTACAGCAACGGCGACAACACGGCCAATTAGCCCATGAAATCTTCATGCAAATGAGCGGAAAATGTTTTTCATTCTCGTCAAGGACATTTCCTTAGACAAGTGTCAGGAACAGGAGGCAGGAATAACGGTTGAGCATCTCACAAAGGCCCCAGCTATGCTAATGAGCCCCTGACGAACTGGCAATTAGCCGACGGCCAGGGAAAAGCCACAAAGTGTTACCTGTTGACCTCGTTGCTCCAGAAAATCTGTGCAAAGCTAAAAACTTAATGAACCGATCTCTTTTTTTTTGCTGTCTTTTCCTTCCATTGTGATGTGGGAGAGAGGAAAGGCTGTGTTTTCGGCTGTGCGGCAGGATATAAAAGTTTATAATTAAATTCCTGTTCTGTTTATTAGTCGGAATTGTGTTCGGGCCTGGGCTGTGTTGCTGGTGTCCCGACGCAACAATTTAATTAAGTTTTTTCTCTAATTAATTGCATTCAGTTGCAGTCGATGCCAGGGCTGCGAAGGGCCAGCGAGTGAACCAGAACTTTGGTAACACTTTATAGTGAATCAGTAAAGTTTTAAGTAAGACAAGGCAACCCAGAAGTTATATATTTTTAACACATGATTATCTTTTTAGTCTCCTTTGTTAGATGTATTCATTATTTTCAATATTCAATAAAAAACTGGTCTGTTGCATATACCGTTGAAAAAATATCTATTCTCCAAGCCATTTAGCATGGAGAATATATTGTAAGGCTTCTAGATATCGTAGTACCATGTACTCGTGCAGACTACAGCTTGGAAGCTTTTCCCTTCAAACACGCGAAACCAGGGTTGGAAGTCTATGAATGAACCGGCGTTTTGTGAACTTTTAATATATTTTCAAATCTGTCTTAATTTGAGCATATTTTATTCCAAAGCCCATCCACGGGTATAGACCACATTAGATCTTAGGACCAGGAGTGGAAACACCAGAGAGGTTTTACTCAGATTATTGAAAATTATTTAAAATTTCATGATCTAAAAGCAATAATATGTTCCATCGTTTTGAACCTTCAATAGCAATGTGCTTTCCAGCCCTGGCTAAGACAAACTTCTTCAAGTTGATTTTTTTCATAGCTGACGCCATTTTGGAAAACTCAGTCGCAGCGGGGAAGCTACATTAAAATTTCAAAACCACAAAAAGAATCCTTTGGTTCTTAAAATGTCTGAACAAAGATGACCATGATGATGAAGATGATGATGACGATGACGAGAGAGAGGGAAAGAGAGAGAAAGAGAGAGAGAGAGGAACAAAGCACAGGTAGCAAGGCAACAAAAGGCTCAATCACCTGCCCCATAAACTCCTCATCCGCATCCTCCCATCCAATTGTAGGTGTGGGGGGGTGGGGTTGGGAAAACTCCAATGCACTGCAATGAAATTCTTCATTTTCAATTGAATGACATTCCATTCTGGTTTCTGGTTTTCGGAGGCGTGGCATGGCTTGGCCATCAATGCTCTGCTCTGCTCTTCCCTGCATGCTGCCCTGCTGCCAATGGGCGCTGCCCGAGCAGAGCAACAGATGCCAGCAGCTGGACAGCCAGCCCCCGCCCCCTCCTCGGCTCCAACAGAACCGCACGTTCCTTCAGGGGCGTGTCGGCGCATGCGCCTTCCGTCTGCGTGGGCGCCTGAGGGTGGGATTGTCAAGCTATGCGAACGGCGGGCGAATCCCAGAGCAGGCCGCTCAGGATTCCGCAGCTGTGTGCGAGAGAGAGCCGCACGGGCCATGGGCATCTCTCCAGGCCAAAAGTGGGTGAGCTGGGTGGCTGACCTCGAGGAGTGGTGGGTGGCGGCTTCCATTGGCTTCTTCGCATTCAAACCCAATTTCAGCGCAGAGCATTGCGACAGGTGACTGCGACACCGCTCCAACCAGCCACGGACACGGACACGGACACGGTGCGGCGTAGCGTCCTCCGTTCAGTTCGTTTCAGCGTTTGCCTCGAGAAAGTTGCGTGTCACGGTTCATCGAACAGCTTACGGTTAGAGGTCGCAAGGTAATAAGTGCGCAAGGATATTCCAAATATAACACAAGGAACCCGCAGTGAAAAATGTTAGTTTGAAAATACATACATAGTTTCCAAAGTGATTTAAATAGTTTCAGATCATAAGTGGACATAAAATATTGAACAAAATAATTAAAATAAAGTCTAAAGAGTGAATGCATTACAAAAAAAATTTAATTAATTAATTGTTTCAACATTAAACATTTTATCAGAAATACCGGTTTAGTGTCAAAGCTGTAGAAAATGAATTTTGGAACTGACAACTGAAACATTTAATGGTCTATATGTGCCTTTTATGATATGAAAACTCTTAGATTATTGGAATTAGTTTAGTCTATCAAAAAGGAAGTAGAGTGAGAGTTCTTCTATGGAAAGATCTCTCAGGCGGTCATCTATGTAGGTACCTCCTGCCTTAAATATATCTCTTGGACAGGAAATTTGCTAAACTGTTGGTGTCTAATAAAAGTGATAAAGGTTTTTAATGTAATTACTGCAAAGACTTTCTTAGTATTTTATATTAATACTGCCATAAAATGTTCTGTGTTAAATTTCTATCATATAAACACAAACACAAACTACGTATATGCTATATGCCGTTGAACTTTTAGATATGGTCTTCAAATAGATTAATCCTCCTCAAATTTACCAGCTAGGATTTCTTTAACCAATAATTTCATACAAAAATAAAATCATAAACCTCTCATCCAACCAGGAATAATTTTCTAAAAAAGATTAGAAATAGAAAAGCAATTTCTAGTTAAACATAAGACAGAATTAAATTCGAAACGACTATAATAGGATAGCGGAGGCCCCTTTTTCTTTTTGTTTATAATATATTTTTGTTTATTTAATAAACCCATCTAAGCCCCCTGTTCCACTTATTCCATATTTTAAAGTTGGCTAAGCCCAAGTTAAAAGGTTTTAATAAATTGATCTGATTTTTTAAGAATATTTCATGTCCACTTACAGTCCGTTCCTGTTTAGAAGCTAACTTGATTAATTTTAAATTTTATTTACTTTTAATATCAATAAATATATGCATACTCGTACATCATAGGAGGCACCCAAAAGAGACTCTTTTTTGGGCGCCTTATTGATCTAAAGTACATCTTCTTGAGGCATTGTATGGGCATTGTTCCAACCCAAAAATAAGCATAATAATAACAACCATTTAGCGAGAACCTTTTCTAATATAAATCAGACCAAACTTGAATATAATTATCCCTTTTTCCAGTTAAATCAAGCAAGCAACATTATATTATCCATGGAAAAGGCAAAACGGAAACATTAAATGAAATCTCAAGTGTTTTACTCTGGAAAATAATAGAAAAACCAAGAGAGCGAGGAAAAATGATGAACATGAATCCACTGTCCCATCCCCCACTGCAGTCTCTGTCACATCCACATCTAAGCCAGCACCAGCAGCAGCACCAGCTTCAGGCCCAGCCACTGCATCCCAGCCACCCGAACCATTACGGCGAGTCCCAGTCCCGGGCATTACCAGCAATCAACGAGACATTTCCGCAATTTAGTCAACATCGTCCGGCGATTTCGTTGCTGTCCCCGCTGGATCTGTCGCTGCGTGCAGCGGCCAGCATTGTGCCAATTACACCGCCATCGACGCCCTCGCCGCCCCGCAAGCGCCAGAGATTAATGTCCGAGGAGAATTACCTGTGGCGGCCGCACATGGTGAACACACCAGCCCCAGCACCAGCTCCGGCCCCAGCTACGGCCCCAACTCCGGCTCTGCCTGCAACAGCAACAGCCTCTCATGCTATACTCGGGATGCAGCCAGCCACCAGCTACTTTCATCATCTCCACCATCACCATCATCATCAGCAGCAGCAGCAGCAGCCGCCTCATCAGGGGGGCAACTGCTATGGCATGCGCGGCTTTGAGGGGGCGTCGTTGTCCTTTAATAAAAGTAATTTTCACGAGACAAAAAATAACTTTGAGCAAATTCCGGCAAGTCAATCGAGCGTGTCTCGCCCCTTTCCCGTTCCCGTTGCCAGCTCGCCCATCTATGTGGATGATGAGACCATCGTGTTGACCGAGGACGAGGATGAAACAGTTGTCAGTTCCCATGACTACAATGAGGATGCCACGGACACGGAGGAAGTCAACGACGGTGATGATGAGACGGTCCAGGTTCAAGTCAGCGATGAGACCCAAGAACTTGAGGTCGAGGCGGATGCCCGTGTGGCGGGCAGCGCTAAAGCTGACGATGACGACGATGATGAGGAGGAGGTCTTTGTCGATGTCCTGGGCAGTGACGATGATGAGACTGTGGACCTGCAGAGCCCCGCCTTGAGACTGCAGGACGAACTTCTCGACCCCAAGGCCCTGAAACGTAATGAAGTCCTGTACGAGGACGAGGAGCTGCACAATCAAGCCGTGGATGGCTTGGCCCGATTGTTTGAAAGGGACTTTCAACAGCCAGAGATGGAGGCAGCCAAGGAGGAGCTAGCCGCAGCCCGAGAAGAGCTGCTCATCGAGAAAACCTACACGGATCTGAGTTGCGTTGGAGCTGGGGCCGAGCACCAGCCATCGCCACTGATGGCATCCCTTCCCCCGGCAGCACCAGCTCCCCCCATGCGGACACACAAGACCGAACGGAAGCGGGCCAAGCTACGCAAGCACACGGCCATTGATGAGGAGACCATAAGTCCCGTGTCCGGCACCATCATACGCAAGCTGCGCGACGATGAAGAGCTGGTCGTGCGCAAAGGTGACATTGATCCGGCTTTCAATGTGGTGGAAATCACCGAGGAGGCCAAGGCCATCCTCGCCAGCATCGATAATAAGATTGGCGACTACTTGTGCCAGCTTTGTCGCACCATCTACGACGATGCCTTCATGCTGGCCCAGCACCGCTGTCCCCGCATCGTCCACATCGAGTACAAGTGCTCCGAGTGCGAGAAGGTTAGTCAGTCCTGCTCTGAGGTAGATCTTTCAGATACTAATCTCTCCGTGGCAGGTCTTTAATTGCCCAGCCAATCTAGCATCCCACAGACGCTGGCATAAGCCCAAAGCGGACGCGGCTGCGGCTGCGGCTACGGCTGGCAAGAAGCGACAGGGCACCCTGAGCGAATCGACCGACCCCAACCAGGAGGCAGACAGAGTCCACGATGAAGCTAGTGATGGCATCTATCCGTGTCATCTGTGCGGCAAGACCTTCCGACGGTAAGATACTTCAGTCTACACCAATCTCTAAACGAAAAGATCAGTATAGTATCGGCAAACCAATTGCTATATGTCCTTTAATATCTTCCTCCTGATAGCCATGCCTACCTTAAGAAACATCAGGCTTCCCACCAGATGCTGGAGAATCTCAAGAACCTCGACTTCTTCAAGGCCCAACAGCAGCAGCAGCAGCAGCATCAACAGCATCCACACCCCCTACCGGAGCACCCACAATTACAACAGTCGTCGGCGCACGGCCCAGCTACTGCCACAACGTATGGTCCCTTGCCCCGCCCTCCTCATGGAATACCCATTTATCCCCCGGCCGCGTCAAAGAGTTATGTGGGTGGACAGCGCTTTCCCGGCTTTCCCTTCCAGCCCTTCGATCAACGGCGCTTCTACTCTCTGGGCGAGTTCTATCTGTCGCAGCACTTGGAGCGCTCCTCGGCCTTTCAGTATGTCCAGGCGAATCATCTGAGGCAGCTGTCGAATGTGGCCCAAAATCTGCTGCCCCCGATGCCCGTCAAATGACCCAACCACACCACGAACGTACTGCGGCCCGTGCCCCGTATTGCGGCCACCACAGCTGCAGGCCCGACGGTAGCGGCCCCACTGACCGCTGCAGCGGCGCCTCCAGCGGCACCAGCGGCTGGACATGCCTTCAATTGGGTGGCACCCGCAACGGCAGCGGCAGTAGAGTCCGGCGGCAACGTTATTATGTGACTTACAAACCATTAGAAGCATTCAATAAACGATCTCTAGTTAAAGTTTAATATATCACTTAACAAAGAAAAGTCTTTCAATGGGGCAGGGGGTCTTCACAAAAGGAATTCGGAAGTCAACCCTTGGGTCAGTTCCTTTAGGTCATTAAGCCTTTGGCCTTTGGATCTGTAGAAAATCAAGAAACTGAAGAGCTAAGTCCGGCCAATAAAACGTATTTACAGCCTGTAAGGGCCGTTCTGGCTGCACATGGGATTTTTCGACACTTCGTCAGTTGTCGGCCAGATTACGTTGCCATAGAGGGATGCCACTGTCATCCAATGTGGCCTTTCTATCAGGTTTCCGAGCACTCTTAAGTCTCGTAATTCCACGCACAAAAAGGCTTACTCCATCCCAGAGACGTCTGTCCCCAAAGAAATCTTTCTGAGAAATCGAATGCGTACGCTGATCCCGCAATATGGGTCCCGCTTTTTTCATGGACATTTTTTCGTTCAGCCAAACTTATAAAAAATTGTTTAATTTATTTTAAAAATCGTGATAGAATTGTTCCTAAAACTGCAGTAAACTAAAACACGAATCAGACATAAGTTTGCCACTTTATTCATTTTTCTACACAACACAATGCTGGCAAGTGTCTGTATTACTACTTTCTGATTGAGTACCATTTTATCCTTCATGTATCCCGTATATTCCTCAATTTCCATCTCTGTTCCTTCAGTCGCAAGGAAAAGTTATGTGGTCCTCACCCACACAGCCTCTTTGATCCAATATACCCTTGCGGTATCGCCAAATTCCATAACAAATATCAATGCGACTTAAAAGGAATTCTCAGTCTAATTGGGCATTCTCTGGCATGTCTTTTTTGTCTTTTTTCTGTGTAAAACTTGTCTTTAACAGCCTTTAAGGGACTGCAAAACGACGGCCAACTGATTTGGTTTGAGTACAGCAATTAATAAACCTCATAAATTATTAGTGCACTAATTGCACTACAAACTAATGCAAGTACACTGAAGGAAAGCCAGGATTGATCTATATTTTATACATCCCAAAACAATATACATAATTAAATCTATCGTAAATCATTCTATATTAGAATCTTCCTCTATCCTTCTTATTTCTTAAACTCATCCTCTCTCAGTGCTTGCCTTATCGCTTCCTCTCAGTGTATTTGCATTGGAAATTCCGTTCAAATTCAAAGTTCAATTGTTGTTTTGAGGGGTCAACAACGTCTCTGTTTTGGTCATTAACTATTTCTCATATGCAAATGGTGTGTGTGTGTGAGAATTGATTTGTCCAAAAGCCGCCTCCTACCGCTGTGGCCCTGGCAAAATACTAATTGTCATTTGGAATTCAAATACCATGCCATTTGTCAGTTTCCATCCCCTGTCGACCAACTATTCCGGTTATGAGGTCTCTCTTTCCCAATTAAATTCGCTGAGAGTAGCAAACGGTTTGTTCATTTACCAGTTATGCGAATGCGAAATTGTTTTCCTCAATTACCTGCCATTAACCTGTATTTACGGCACACCCCACCCCACCCCCGTATTGTACCCTGTGGACTGTCCATCATTTCGTCGCTTTGAAGTTGCTTTGCATTGACATGTGGTCAGTTTTCCCCCAGCTGGAACTGTCACAATTCTTATTTGAGTCCGCACTCAACTGACAATTGCAGTTGGGTCGTCCTCATTCGGCTGGAGTATCGCTTTGATTATCGGTTTGTCTATTCATCTGTTGGGGTCTACGTCCCTCTGACTTGACGGGTCGGGTCTGAGCAAATGCTCACGCAAGTGCCTGACCACTTTTAATGACAATTTTTCAACCATGCTGTGATTTACCTTGTCAAGCAACCGTCCACGTTGCGTATGCGTAATGTATGTATGAGAGAATGTATGGGTTACTTCCGGTCTACCTTTCCTATAACTCCACAATGCGTAGGTCTCGTCTATCACAGCGGGTGGGAGATAATTGGGGTTGAGGTTTGGTTGCTGTTCTTTTCTTAAAGGTATTTGCATTATTATAACGGTGCATTAATAGTACAAAAAGAATTCCCACACTTGATTTTTTGTATTTAAACTTACCACCATAAAATATTTATTTGTAAATATTGAGTTAACAGATCCAAAAAGCATTTCTTTTAACTTAACAGCGCTGAAAAGCTGTTCTGCAAAGTTAACATAACCGAAAAGCTTTTTCGTGCCGCCATCTATTGTTAGATGCGTGCAGTTCAAACTACCGTTATGACGTAGGAGTTATTTTTAAGCTTTCTACATATGTTTGTGTTTTTTCTCGGAATAATCCGGGGAGAAAAGGATCCCACGAATCAACGAGAATATATTTCTCCTGAAATTCAGTCAACAAAAATCTATATTTAAATACGGGCCTTTCCCGCGAAAGGTCTACTGAGGCCCACAAATTAAAGGGCAATAAAACCCCATTCCCATAAACCTTTGCTCGGAGTTTATTTTTTAATATTGAAACTCAGCTAATTTAACCAAATTACATAATATTTTTATTAACTTTCTTCTGAAAACCTATTAAAATAAGCAAAAGTTCGTTTTTAAGGTAATTTTTTGTACTTTTATAGTCATGTTTTCCTATAGATAAAAGTTCTACCCCAAAGTCACTTTAACGTATTGAACTGTCTAAAATCAATCATAGAGAATTTGCTAAAATCGAGCTTAGCACCAATTATAGGGATAATCGAACGCTACTTTATAATAGTAAAAAATTTTTTGAATAACCGTCTTTTTCCATTTTAACACTTGCAATGTGTACGACTACCCCGTTCGACATCTGGAAAATGCCCATATATAAATAAAATGTATTACCGAACCCAAATACTTTACCATTTCGATAATATAAATCTACTACCTTAAAGACAAACACTGCAATTTGTATTTTATTAAACACCCTTCCTTAAATATTCCTCTGTAAAATTGAAAAGTTCGCCAATCCAATCGATATCTCTCTGAATTGCATATGCACATTGAAATGTAATTAAAAACGGATGAAACAGAAAACAGCTGCTGAAATCTGGTGCGGCAACGGATTCGGTGTGCTATCTCGTATCGGATGCATTTGACAAGCGCCACAGGACACAATTAGCGTCGAGTGGCCATCAAGCTGCAGCAGCCATGCCAACGAGGAGGGGGGAGGATGGCCAAGAAAAGTGGTTTAGTTGGCAACAGCAGTGTCGACGGGAATGACGCATATGGGTCACTATGTTTGGCCTTTGCAGGACGAGAATCCAGCTGCTGCAATTGCCAAAGCTACAGCCACAGCCGACGCCCACGCCCACGTCCCACCGAGGCACGAACATATACTACGCCCAAGAGACCACTCCTCTCTTTCCAAAAGAGAGCCTGGGAGAGTGAGAGGGAGAGAGAGAGAGAGAGAGAGCTGCAGCACCACAGCCATGGTGCTGACCTTGCCCTCTAAATAGAATTTTTCATCATTTCATTCGAGTGTTGTTTGCACTAAAATGGCGCCTGCTTAAACCGTTTTCCTCGCTCGATTTCCATATGGGTATTGGCAATTTCCGTGACACATTCAAGGAAAGCGAGCCAAGCCATGTATGCGAGGAATCCCAATCAAATTGTAATTAGTCAAGCCAGATGCGAATTACAAAAATATTTCGCATGAAATTTCGCGTAATTTGTTTGCCCAACGCTCGCCATTAAATGCAACGCAATAGTTTACTTACACACAACTTGATTTTGTAAAAACGGCGAATCGGCTTCTATCAAACATTTCAGAGGCGTGGAAATATTCTGCGAAAAAAAGGGGGATCTAGACAGATCTTTGAGGAATGAAAGCCTAGAGAAGATATGCATGCTCCCATCCAACATTTGGCCCCCATTTCCTTTGACTAGTTTTCAAAAACTAAATCGGTTTTTAGTAAACCTTTTAGACGTTTAATTTTTCAAATTGAATGTATAGATTTTTCTTATGACCTTCGACCCCCCTTTAGCAGCACTGCCCTGCATTTAATTTGGTTTCGAAGCTGTGAAATATTATTACTCAGTTTTTTGTTGATGTGATGTCGATTACCGCATCTGCCACCGTATTGGGATTGGGGAAGAACACTGGAAGTCCATTACGAGTGTTTTAGTATCGTTTCACATATCGAATATGGAATACCCTCCTGAAGTCATCAATGCGTCTCATTGTTCTTAAGGGAATAAAAAGAGTTTCTTAAAACGATGCATGAGCTAATAATAAACTAAAATAAAAATTGCATGCTGTTGAGTCTGTTTTCCATTGGGAAAGGATGTCCTAATAAATATCTCAGACGAGAGGTTTTTATTTAAGATTTGAAAGATTTAAAATTACCTTATAATTGCAGAAGCCTTTAAAGAAAACATATTTTAATATAGGAGGGGAAACCTTTTATGTAGATCCGATCAGTACCCTTTCAAAGGCCGAACGTGCCCTCTATTGCGTTATTATGATAAGAGTTTTGCCGCTTAGCCCACACATATTGTATTATTTTCTATAATTGGTAATTCTCTACATTTCACGCTTGATTGCATGGCATTTTCATTGCCATTGACGGCAAATTATATAATTCCAGAGGAGGGTAAGATGAGCCGGGGAATGTTCTGGCGTTTCTTGTCTTGCTTCCTCGTGGGTGCAATAACTGATGCAATGGGATGGAAAATTATGCATTCAAAAGTGTTCCCCAGGGACATAGAAATCTTTGCGATTCAGCTGGTAACATATTGAATTATTTTTCTTAATCTTAATACATTTTGAATTTGAGTTTAAAGAAAATATATATTGTAGCTTTTCTTGATTTCGCAAGATTCTGAAATTCCAACTTTTCTTAAGCCGACAAAAATTTTGAAATTTTAGATAGTTCTTC